TATATATATATATATATATATATACACTTATCCCTATGTCTGACCCTCTGCCCTTTCCAACCCTCTTCTCACACTATCTCTGGTGTCTACAGTTGTCTTCCATTCCTTTTTCCCCCACATTTTATTGATCACATCACATAATTTCTTAAATAATCTAACTAATTTCAATAGCAAGTTCAGCTGGTAATGGCATAATGGTTACGTCACTGGACTCCCACATAGTCAACCCTTCTCACAATTTTCTAAAAGGCTATTTTTTTAAAAGAATGGTTTATTTTATTTTATTATTTTTAAAATTAAAAAAAATTTATTCAACTTTATTTTTTTTCATTTGGCCCGAGAGAGACAGAGAGAGAGAGAAAGTGAGCAAGTCTCTAGGTCCAAGACTCAAGCCACAGTCAGCCATGTTGGGAGTCCAGTGCCCTTAACCACCATGCCATCTGCCAGCCCCTATTATTATTAATTTTTGAGAGATTTTTGCTATAGGGCACGTGTGCTCATCAGAGAGACAGAGACGGAGGGACAGAAAATGAGAAATCATCCCCCGGAGGGATGGTCACACCACAATCCCTTCTCCTCTGTTCTCTCAGGATCTTGGGGATGCACACAAACACACCTGGTGTGAGTTTTAAGTCACCATGTCTGGGATGTGAACTGCAGTCGACTATGCCAAAGTTCAGTGACGTAACCACTACACCACCTACTGATCCCATGTTATTATTTTTTATGAAGTTGCCAACCTTTTTTTTTTTTAAAAGAATTATCTTATTTGACTTTTAATTTTTTTTTTAAATTTTAATTTGACCAAAGAGGGACAAAGAAAGAAAGGGACCAGGTGAGAGGAGTGAGAAAGCAAGCCACCACGTCCAGGAATTGACCATGGTTGGACATGTGGGAGTCCAGCGTCCTCAACCACCATGCCACCTGCAAGCCCAGTCCCATGTTAGTACTATGATTTAATTTGACCAGAAAGAGAACGGGAAAGCAAGAAAGCAACCCTCCAGGCCTGGGACTCAAACTGTGGTCAACCATGTGGGAGAACCCAGGGGAAATGAACATGCTGCAATCCTTCCTCCTCCATTCTCCTCCCAGGATCTTGGGCATGAATGCACATGCTCCCTGCATGACTTTCAAGCCATTGGGTCTGAGACTCAAACGGTGGTCAGGTGTGTGGGAGTCCAGCAATGTAGCTGCTATACCATCTCCTGGCCCCCCATTTTTAATATTAATCAGGAAAAGTTGCTATGAGAACAAGGTACCATCTATTAATAGATGAACAGGATGACAAATAAAATTGAATCAGTTGACACTATTTACTGATGTGCTAAATGTTCCAGGCACCAAGCTAGGCACAAAGGGGAACAAAATCAGACACAGCTCTCCTCTTGTGAAGCTAACAGTGCGAGTGGGACAGAGAAACATCAATCAAAACTCACAGAAGCAAAATGAAAATATAAAGTGACAAGCACCAGGAAGGAGGGGTGCAGAGGCAATGAAAGTACCATGTTCCCTTGTGTTCCCCTTGCAGGGAGCTCAGGGAAAGTTTCCAGGGAGCCAAGTAAGGGTTAACTTATAAGAGGTAGATGAGCATTCTAGGCTCTGCACCATGTAAAGACTCTGTGACAACAGAAAGCCCTGACAAAGGATGAGGACTACAAAAACTGGGCAGCACTATGGAGGACTAGATTGGCAAGGTGGGTAAGGCAAGATCATTAAAAAGTTTCAAGCAGAGGGAGCATGAGCCTCAGCTTTGCATTTTCAAAGTAATCTGGGTACAGCATGAAGAAAGGACTGGAATGTTCCAAAGGCTTGACAGAAATTGTCAACTGCCTGGAGTCCCCATGTGGAGATGAGCAACTGATATGATTGTTCAGAGCAGTGTCTAACATCTCACTATAAAGTCATTCCTTTGTGAAGACAAAAGTATTTTCACTGTACATCTATCATAGATGTATTTTGAAGAAGGATTTTTACTACTTTAAGTACAAACTACCACATTTTTAAGCTGGCATAAGAACATTTGAGGAAATTAGTTGAATTATGTGTGCTAGTTGAAAGACACAATGAAGCTGATTATACTAAAAGGCAAAACTGATCTTACAGGACTAATGTATGTGTGTGTGTGAATGTAAATTTTTAAAAGAATTATTTTTTTACTTTTATTCATTCATTCATTTTATTGTCATTTGACGAGAGAGACACACACACACAGAGAAGGAAAGTGAGAAAGCAAGCAACCAGGTCCAGAACTCGAACCAGGGTCAGCCATGTGGGAGTCCAGCGCCTTAACCACCAAGCCACCTGCTGGTCCCTGTGAATTTAATTTTTTAAACCAAAAGGATACACAAAACAAATAGTATGAAAATGTCAAAAAGTGTTAAACTATTAGACTTATAAATCTAGTAGCAGCCCTGCCTACACCCCTTGACCATTTCATTGTGGACCTCTCCACTCTTAATTATTTACCTGTTATTTCCTGCCTCCCTCCCCCTGCTTTTTAAAAATATAAATGCTACTTATTTTTCAGTTTTAGACATTGTTTACTTTCTACTATGGGAGAAAAGGATTTTGCCTCTGACCCCTCAAACCCCCTCCTGAAACTCTCTTCTTATCCCACCACCAAGAGGGAACAGTCAAAGGGTTATCAGCACTTCCTTTTTAGTCTCCCATTAAAAAAAAAAACAAAACAGTGACTCATTCATTACATGAAAAAAAACATCAATCAGTAAGGAGAGAACCAGAACATTTCACTATAAAGTTATTCCTCTGTGAGGACAAAAGTATCTTCACTGAACATCTATTATTATAGACATATTTTGAAGCAGTAAGGATTTTTACCCTTTTCAGTAAAAACCAACATATTTTTAAACTGTCATAGAATATTCAAGAAAATCGAAGTTGATTTATATATGCTAACTAAAAGACACAATAAAGTTGCTAGCACTAGGAAGCAAAAATAATCTCATAGGACTAATGTCTTGGGAAAAGTGTTAGAAAGATCATTAGCTGATATACTCCTTATCTATTAATGAAATAGTAAAGCAGACTGCTGGGCTGCCAGGAGGAGTGTAAATGAGCATGCAAACAAGTAGGTGATTCCTACCCAGTCTACAAAAGTAAGCCAGATGTTTGGACCCTCTGAGAACTCAATTCCAAGAAAGGAAATGCTCAGAGACACAGGCTTATGCACAAGAATACTGATGATAACATTATTTATAATAGTGGAGAATAATCACAATGCCTCCAAGTAGAAAAATGGTTAAGTGATACTAAGTCTATAGCATGGAATAATATAAAATCATTACATTCATGCTTTCAGAGAACACTGAATGTCATGGAAAATGCTCAAGTTAAATGAAAAAAAAAACAGTTGAGATCAAATCTACATGTGAAAACATGTATCTACATATGTAGACACATATATATAGACATTTGTATAAGCATTTATAAGACACTTAACACATCTTCATTTTTATAAGTGCCTAGAAAAAAGAGTTTATTTCTCACAATGCGGTCTGCCACCCATTCACTTCAGAATCACCAGATTCTTGAGTACCTGCCACCCTCACCTACTGAATTAGCTTCTGGGAGCAGAGCCTACACTCTCTGGCTACTTACACTCCTCACACACTGGTGGTTAAGGTGGCCAGAACCCACATGACTGACTGGGTGGTCTGAGTCACAAACCCAGTAGCTTGGAAAACACATCGTACATGCATTCTATGTATATATGCATGCCCAAAATTCTGAGGATAGTGGAGGAGAGGGGATTACAGTGTGGCCATTCGCGGGGGAGGTGCATTCTCACTTTCCTTCTTTCTCTCTCTCTCCAACAACTGCATTCACCTGTAACAAACTCAATACAAATAAACATTCTAGACCAAAAGAGAGTTGAGAAAGAATTCTCACCATGGTCAAATGTCCTACACTGGATCTAATATATGTTTTCCATTTCCCAGGGTCCCTGAGCATCTAACCCTCATATATTTTAGATCATGATTAGAATCCGGGCCTGACTCAAGCCAGCTACCAGTTAATGCTCAGGAACAAGATTGTGAGGGTCAGGCTAGATGATCAGAATATTTAAAGGAACTACATATTTACTTTTGTTTATTGGTCCCTACCACTGGATTATGCTATAGGGCTAGAATGCTCTCAACACAGTAAAGCCAGGCACTTACCTGGTACTCAGTGAAGGGTGAGTTTGTTTGTTTGTTACATTTGTTTGACAAGTACAATGATGATGACAAGTACAATGAAATGGGCTAGGCACAGAAATATGTCAAGTTTGCACACTCATTTCTGAGTGCTTATCATGGGTGGACATTTCTAAGAAAGTAGGGTGACTAAAACATAATTTCTAATGGCAAAGCTTCCATGTAGTGGGAATACTAGTCTTAGCCATTCTCTCTTACACAGGTTTGGGCAAATAGTAGGTGTCTAATTAATGTTTGTTTGAATCGAGTTTGTAAATCAAGACATACTTTAAGCTTGGCCAAACTTGGGTACTCTGCAGGCAGAGAGCCTAGAGTTGGAAAGCTGTAAAACATTCTAGAGACTGCATCAGGATGATTGAGATCTTAAGTAACCATACCTTCTTGATCATCACTACTCTGGGGTCTCCACAACCAGCCAGAAGTTAAAAAATTTGACCAGAGAAGCCTCAGAACCCAAAAGAATTGGACAGTACACATTATGACAATGTTTTTAAATGTGCGTATTATAAAAACTCTGTAGGTCCCTAAGCTGTTACTAGATAGTATCTATTAAATGGATGGAATGTTGCTGGTCCTCTGTCCTGTAGAACTTTTCAACACTTTTAAGCAAAGTATTATGCTCCTTACATGGACTGTCTTGTTTGATCTTCACAATCCTATGAAGTAGGTATTATTTTTCCTGGTTTAAGAGATGAGCAAGTTGAAGAAGCCCAGAGAAAGTAACCTGCTCCAGACCACAAAGAGGTACTAGATGATCATAGCATAAAGCACAGAATAAAACTGAAATCAGAGTCTGGCCCCAAAACCTGGTCTGTGATCACTCAAAGCAATACTGTATTTGTTTTTAAGTTTATTCATTCATTCATTCCATGAGCAAGTGAGAGAGAGACACCCCCTCCCAACAGTATTCATGCTTCCATGTAACCCAGCCTCAGCCAGCCCAGATCATGGGCATGTACAGGTGCATGAGAGCCTGGAGAACTCAGGAAGGGCCTGGGAGGTGAACCTAGGACTTCTCCCACGTTGATTCGGCTGTGCTAGCACTGTGCCACCATCTAGACCCAGTTTTTAATATGCTGATTTGATTAGGGAACCCTTTTGACTGAATCAGTACTCAGGACCACCTTTCCATGGAACACATTTTTGGGGGACCAGTGAGTGAGTCAGATATCCCATGGCAGACTGAAGGGGAGGTAGAAGGCAGCTCAGAAAGAAAAGCTATTCCAGAAAGGGCATGTATTAAAATTGGGATTTGAGAATTATTAATAATGACATGTAAATTAAGCCTCAGTTTAACAGATACCATTTTTTACTTCCATATTGATAAGCTTCACTTGATGACTCCTTTCTTTCAAATAATATTTGATATGTTACTATAATTCTGACATATTCACTCTTTATAATTTGTTGTAGGATTTGACTTACCTAGTAATTCAAATCATTAGGTCACTAATATTGGTAAAGTATATTCTCATTGGGAATGTAAGTTTTAACTTGCTTTGTATCTCAGTGGGTCTGCTATTTGCATTTGGGGGTGAGATAATTCTTTATTGTACAGGAATGACCCAACCTCTGCAGGACACCTAGCATCCCTAACCCCTTGTTGCCTAAATACCCATAATACCACCACCACCACCCACCACTCCTTCAGTCATTGTGACAAGGAAATCCCCATTTCAAAATTCCTTCTAGGGGTGCAACACAACCCCAGCGGAGGACCATAGATGGATTAAGAGCAAACTAGAACATTCAATAACATACTGTAAGATAAACATTCAGTATTCCAGCAAAGCTATTGTCATTCTACTACCAATCCTGCATGTCCAATATCTCATTACATTTCTCTCTATTCTGTAAATAACATGAACAGATTCAACACAAACTGCCCAAATATCATTTTGAACCAAGAGTGTCTAGCCTTGCGTACTTTGCCAATAACTGCAATAAAGGTAGGCAAAAGCTAAGCCCAGGAAAGCATGGAGTACTGACTTCTACCTGTGGCAATGGCACAAAATGAGAAGTATACCTAAACAGCCTATCATTTTGTTAAATGTGGACTTTAAGAAGGTTGCGGGGGTCTTTTTTCTTTCTTTCTTTTAAAAATGGTTTATTATAAAAAGCTTGCTCCTTCTCACTACTGAGTCATTTCAGCAATGCAGCTCCATCCATTTAGGATTACTAGGGCCTAAATCACTTCAGACAAAAAATTAAAAACTGGACAGTAATTCCACATTCAATAACACATTCATAGACCTGTCAATATGCATTCAGGAACACTCGTCTCATTTCTTGATCGGAATGCCAATCACCATAAAATCTTCTGCTAGAGTCACTTCTTGGAGATCTAACACTGACTCAGCTTGCTTTTTCAGTTCTGCAGTACCATCTGTTTCTCCTTCTCTGGCCAAAGCAACAGGTTTGTACCTCTGACTGAAGTGAGTCAGAACCAGCCTCTTTGCATGGCACAACTTTGCAAATGTTGCTGCCATCTGTGGTGTGCTGTGGCCATGCTCCTTTGCTTTGTCCATCTGTGTATCATCCAGGGTTGCTTCATGGATCAATAGGTCTGCTTCAAAACACTGCTTCACTCCTCCATCACCCACAACCCCAGAGCAGTCACCCAATATGCAGATTTTTCTTCCAACGACAGGCTTTTTTAACACATCTTGGGGAGAAATTGTAACCCCATTTTCCAGAACAACAGAAACTCCATTTTTCAGCTTCCCATAAGCAGGGCCTGGTGGAACACCTAATAATGATGATAGATAGCATTACATCATGGGAAAGGAATTTATGACTTTTTAATAGAGTCCAATTTAACAGCATAGCAAATAACAAATGGAAAAGGCATTCAATTCTTTTCATAATGTTTTACTACTAGTAGAAAACTGGAATATTCATACATTTTTTAATGTTCAGTGCTGACTGATACCGGCAATGCCTTAGTACTTAAAACAATTCCCATGCACATGTACCAAATGAGTTTTAAGATTCTAAGTCTCACTAAGACCTTATTACAGTCACGATAATGGTTTTGATGCTCTACTGTACATGGGAATAAGTTTTTGAGAGTGCTTTATTCAAGAAGCTCATCTTTGGGTAAAAGTAAAGTATATATTTAAATAATGACAATCTATGACTAGTAGACAAGTACCTACAAAATGACTTAACTTATTTTAAAAAATGTTTGAGAAGATTATTTGGATCACGAGATCAAGTAGCATTTCAGGGAATCACACACAATCAATCTCCTTGGCAGACAGGGATACTTTGACATTTACCAAGCTGGGCTTAAATCTCGTATTAATCTAGAAAAATATCTGATCATCACTCTGGACAATACATATAAACAAGTATCATGTGATGACCAGTTCCAACACAGACGTCGTTTAAAGTTTCCAAATGTAATTTATTGGGTTGTCAGGAAAGTCATGATGCATTTTTGCATAGAAAAACATCAAGATTTTCCTGATGACCTAATAGTATTTCCACAGGGTTTCAGATAATAAAAATACCTTTGGCTGAACTCACTTTTCCTCACTGTCATTATCTAGCATGCCATTTCAGTTGGGGAAGCAATTACACAAATAAATGAATATACCAAAAACACCACAATGCTTTCTACAAGCACTGTCTGTCACACCATGCTGAGGACGGTGGTGAAGCTGGAGGAAAATGGACGGGACTCTGCTTTGCATGATGGCCTAGCACAGAGGAGGTGGGAGGCCTTAAACATGCCCCATACCCATCTTTTTTATATAGATTTTTTTTTTAATTTGTCAGAGGGCACATGCACTCACTAAAGAGAGAGAGAGAGAATGAGAGAGAGAGAATGAGGGAGACAGCATCATTGGTAGGGCATGGTCAAGATATAATCCCTTTTCCTTCATTTCTCCATCCTTTTGGGGTTTTGGATAGGAATGCAAGAACACACAACTGGAGTGGTTTTCAAGTCACCAGGTCCAGGAACTGAACCGCACAGCTGCATGTGGGATCTGGCTTCCTTAACCACCAGGCCACCAGCCACCCCTGCCATGCTTATCATTATGTGCTTGTGTCTAACTATGATGAACCCTAGTATGTAAAACTGCTTGAGGCAGGTTCTGAACACCAAATTAATTTAATCAGGGTTGAATGAGTAGGTAAGTAGATGATAAGAAAACCCTGAAAGCAGTTGCTTGCAATTTTTAAAAAGAATTATTTATTATTATTATTATTATTATTATTATTACTGTTTGCTATAGGGCAGGTGCACTCACCAGAGAGAGACAGAGAGAAAAAGAGAGAAAGCAAGCCACCAGGCATGGGACTCAAATCACAGTCAGCTTTGTGGGAGTTCAATGCCTCAACCACCACACACTACCTGCTGGCCCCTGGTTGCAATTTTTTTTTTCCCCAGAGAGATTTTTTTCTATAGGACATGAGTGCTCACTGGAGAGACAGAGAAAGCAAGAAATCACCCCTGGGGGGATGGCCACACTGCAATCCCTTCTCCTCCATTCTCCTCCTGGGATTTTGGGCATGTACACACACATGCCTGGCATGAGTTTCAAGCCTCAGGGCCCAGGACTTGAACCATGGTCAGCTATGTGGGAGTCCAGCTATGTAACTATTATGCCATCTGCTGGTTCCTCTGGTTGCAATTTTAAGGTTAAGAACTGTGGCCAAAGATGTCATTGCAAATCTATCTTAAAAGAAAGACATGAAAAAATAAAGCCTGGACCTAAAACAACCACCACCGCCAAACCATCTTGCCAACCAAGGTGATGTGAGTTGAAGATAAGATAGATTAAGAACATGGACTGAGGGAGCTGAAGAGAGAAGGATTGCAATCTATACCTTGTTTTTGCTCTGAATACCATCTTTTTCTTTTCAATTGCCAGAGGGCACATTTGCTCACCAGAGAGAGACAGAGGGAAGTAGAAACACTCCTCAATGGAGTATGGTCAGGCCTCAATCCCTTCCTTCCATTTCCCCATCTTGCAGGGATTTGAGCACATACGTGCATTTATATGCACCAAGCATGTTTTTCAAGGTGCCATGCCTGGGATTTGAACTGTGCTCAGACATGTGGGATCTAGCTCCCTCTGCCATAAAGCCACCAAGCAGGCCTCAAATAGTATCTTTTGTCCCCAAGGATTTCCCTTAATGAACACATTTTGTGCATAGGAAATAAAGCAGAGCAAATGCCATTTTTAGGCCTGAGGAAGGAAGGTTACTGTGACACTTCTACCATCCCCAGTTAACGACAGCTTGATTGATAAGAAGGGGCAAAACCACTTACCGAGGTCTTTTAATTTCTGTGCATTGAGTTTACCTGGGCGTTTCTTTTCCACGACTGAAAACCCAAAGGAGGGAATTCTATGGAAGAGGCGAAATGCTTTTACAACAAATTGTTCATTATCAACCAGAAGGTATGAGTTTTCTTCTGAGTCTAATAGGATATTTCTTCCTTGTCCCTCTTTGGGAGGATTGTCTGCTTGATTCGCATGTGCAAATTCTTTAAGTTCTTCTGTAGGGCACTGATCAGCTGTAGGCACCAGTTCATGGACCACATAAGGAAAGACCAATTCCGTGTGAGAAAGTTCCATGGTTCGCCAGATAAAGTCCCGAAGCCCTACAGGGCCATAGATTTCAATGGGCTGTTTGGTGACCATGGAGCCACTCTGCAGGCTAATTGTGCAGAGGAGGCCAGGAAGGCCAAAGAAATGGTCTCCATGAAGATGTGTGATGAAGATCTTGGTAATTTTCCCTTTTGATTGAGACAGAGAAATACATTTGGAAATTTTTCAGAAGTAAAAACCCATATACAAAGTTATTTAAAACAAGCCTAAGAAGTTACATATAAAATAGTAAATTGAATTTAGAAGTTCTACTTACCACTGTAAACTTATTCATTTATATTTTGCTAGATGATTCCAAAGCAAGAAAGATGGGCTTTATTTTACTGGATGGTTTTTAATAAAATATAACCTTTTTCTATTAAACATTTTCAAACTACACAGTTAAACAGTTTTCAGAATATTTTCCTCTCACTTAAGAAAAAGTAAAAAATGTACCAAAAACATGAGGAAACTTCAAAAAGTTTGTGGAGAACTGGCCCTATAACCTAGCAGCTAACTAAGGGAGCCGATCCCACATGGCCGATCATGGTTTGTACCCTGGCCTCAGGGGCTTAAGAAACACACCATGCATGCCCCAAATCTCGACAGAATGAAGAAATGAAGAAGGGACCCTGGTGTGACCATGCCTCACTAGGGCTTATTTCCTCCTTCTTTCCCCTCTGTCTCTGACAAACACATATACCTTTTGGCAATAAAACGAAAGTTTTGTAGAAAAATGGAATAAAAGTCCAGGTTTATTTTGGAGTAAAAAAAATTTTTTAATAATAATTTATTTATTTAATTCCATTTGTTATTATTATTTTTTAATTTGACCAGTCAGAGAGAGAGAGAAAGGGAAAGCAAGAAAGCAAGCCACTAGGTCCGGGATTCAAACCACAGTTAGGTGGGAATATGTGGGAATCCAGCACCTTTAACCACCTCGCCACCTGCCAGCCCCAATTTTGGAGTAAAATATTTGAGATACAGGGATTGGAGGGTGGCATGGTGGTTAAGGGCACTGAACTCCCATGTGGCTGAGTTTGAGTCCCAGACCTGGTGGCTTACCTTCTCACTTTCCCTTTCTCTCACTCTGTCCCTCTCTGGTCAAATTAAAATTTAATTAATTAATGAATTAATTTTAAAAAGTTAAATAAAGTATTTTTAAAAATTTGATATTAATGTATAGTTTAGTCATAATGTACACTTTCCATGAACTTTTTGAAGACCCCTTGCAATTCTCTTAACTAGATAGGCATTGCATGTCAAAAGAATCTGGCAGTTACGGCACCCCCTGCTGCTTTCTTCATAGCAAACATTTACTTCTAGCAAAATAAAATGCTCAATGGCTCCAACTGACTGGGATCAGTATCTAAACCCAAAACTGCCTTATAAGGACGCTCTAAACGGGACAGAGATTACCCAATCAAGTCAGAGACTGGTGAGGTTAAAGGAAGAAAAGAAAAATGAAAGGGTGAAGGAGAGGGCAGAAAGAAGGGAGGGAATAACAGAGAAAAAAGGAGTGGGGGTGAGGAACTGAGGCAGAAGGAAGTACTCAACAGAAGTCAGAGTGTAGCCTTGTATTATGTAAGGGTACTTGGGCCCAACTCTTCTGTTCAGTCTGAAGTAATACAACAACTTGTTCAGTGCCTATTGGCTTAGTTTATAATTGATTTAGCCAATAGTCAACTGAACTTACTGCTGGAATGTGGCAGGATGCCACAATTGCATTTTCTGAGATGTATCACGTGGCATATTAAAAGTAGCAAACACAACTAAGCTAGGCTTTTGGTCCTAGCTCAAGGCCTTCCTATTTTAAACATTTGATACATAAACATACAGGAATAGCTTACTGATACCATAAAAGAGTAGTTTATAGTTTATTATAATGTGACTTATCCTGTGACATCACATGCTCTCCAAGCAAGTCTTGGAATTATGACACCAAGCCCAGTGCTTAGTGGCAGAGAACAACAGATTAGGTAGAGTTGATTTTGGACACGGAGAATCCCTGGGAAGTACTCTAGAAGTTTCCTCAATACGTTCCTTTTTCCTGTCTCTTTTTAGTTCTTGATTTTGCTTCTAGAATCCTTTTCATTTCTCCCCTCCACCTATCTACACTGCCAAGCCACCATGTGTGACCTGAGGACCCTGCAGACAAAAGTCTCAGGTTACTGGGTGTAGATCTCATGTTGGCCTCCAAACTGCCAATATCAGACTTTCCGGGGCCCTCCCTAACGACTCCAAAACAAAGCCAAATGGAACACCCAAACGACCTGCAAACCCAAGGCAGAGGAGGCGAATTAAGTGAAAAATTGCTTCCCACAGTTATCACAGTTTCAGAAAAGCATTTTCTAAGAAACTTGATTTCAGAAGGGGAAGGAATGGCAACCACAAGTATCAATGGTATGAGGCAGTTTTCAAATGAAGAATGGGTTTTATTGAGAGACACCATGATGTACTACTGGGGGAGCTGCATTCCAGTTTGAGACTGGGGGCATTTACTAGGCAGTTATAGACAACGCTCTGGGACAACCACCCCGACTTCTTCTCTGAGGCAAGGAATTTATTTTTTAAGTCAATAAAATGTAGTAAACTAAAGGTATCTTTGGGCTTTTTTGGTTTATTTTTTGCCAGGCTTAGGACTGCCAACTGTCTATTTAAAACTTACATAAAGGAGCTGTACAGTATAAAATAATGGGGAAGCGTATTGTAATGGGAAGACCTAAGGGCATGGTCCCTGCCCCTTGATGCTCACAGCCAAGAATTCTCGCCCCTTGAGTGTGGGTGGGAATGGGACTTACTTCCAACCAGTAGAATATGGCATATGATGCAATGTGGTTATGTTATGAAATCTAACTCTCTGTCTTGCTAGTAGACATAGAATCTCTTTTTCCTTTGCTGGCTGTGAGGAAGCTACCATGAATCAGAAACCTACATCGGACATAACTGTGGGTGGCCTCTAGGAGCTCAAGAGAATCTGCCCTATAACCATAAAGAGTCTGCCAATAACCAGAGTGAGCTTAGAAGCAGAATCTTCCCCAGTGGAGCCTCTGATGGGACTATAACTCTAGTCAGCTCCTGGACTGTAGCCTAGTAAGACCCTGAAGCAGAGAATCCTTCTATGCCAGGCCCCAATTCCCTGACCCACAGAAGCTATGACATCATAAATGCAAATAAGTCACTAAATTTATGATCTGTTATGTAACATTAGAAAACTGACACAGTTATGAAATAATGGTAAAGACTTATCCCCACACTCAAATCTCTGGTACCCACGGTTAACAATTGGTTGCTTCTAATTTAATCCACCCTGCACCTCAACCTCCACTCTCGAAAATGTTAAATATCACAGCCTCCACTCTGGCCTGTGCCTACCCTGAGGGCACTCTGGAAAGGAATCTGCATGATTCAAGGGAAGTAAAGCATAGGACCTGACTTACTTCAGGGTTTCAACCCAAGACAATTTATAGTTAAGGCTGAACTGTGTATACCTCAAGAGGGCCACATGTCCTAAACAGACACAGGTCACTCCTTCCTCCAACAGCAGCTTTCCCTGACTCCCTCTGCAGGTCCAGGACATCACCACCAGTGATTTGTACTAATGCTTCACTTCCTCATACCCTAGACCACCTCCTACTGGTTCCGCAGGTACCTCTTAAACTGAGTCTCTAGTTTCCACCCATTTCTCTACTTCCTATTTCAACAGTATCTTCATATTCTCTCTCTCTCTCAAATGCATTTGACTGCCTTGGAGCTAGCCTCTGTTACGCTATCCACAGCCTTTCTCTCTCCCAGTACATATGCCACCAGAAAACTCTGTCCGAAAATGTAAGTCAGATCACATCATTCCCCTAGTTAAACACATTTCATTGCTCTTTATTGCAGTAAACAGTAAGGTTCGAATATCACACAGAACTTCCTAGCCTGCCCTCCCACGTTTTCAGCATTCTTAGCTCCCTTCTAGCCTAGTCCAGTACTCATTGTTCTCTAAACTTGTCACTTCTTTCCTGGAACCTCCCTTACTTGTCATTCATTTTGTTGTCTCTTCCTTCAATACCTGACCCACCTCTCTCCCGAGAGAAACTCCCATTTATCTCTTAGATCCTCGTCAATGTAACCACCTCTGCGATGCCTTCTCTGAATGCAGAGGCACAGTTAGTGTTCCCTTTCTTCATGCTCCAAGAGTACCTAAAAACCACCTCCATTATTCTACTTATATTCCGTGATTGATGACCATCTGTTTGCAGCACTAGACCAAGAGATCCTGGGACACTAGAAGTAGCTTTCCTCAAATCGTTCATCAAGGGCCATGTACTGTGATGATTGTAGAAATAGTCATTTCAAGGGACCAATAGGTGGCATGGTGGTTAAGGCATTGGACACTCCCACATGGCTGACCACAGTTCGAGTCCCAGACCTAGTGACTTGGTTTTCCAGTTTCCAGTTGTGTGTGTGTGTGTGTGTGTGTGTGTGTGTCTTGTCAATTTAAAATAAATGAATGAATAAATAAAATTAAATAATTATTTTTTAAAAATAAATAATTACTTCAATAACTACTATTTATCAAGACCTAATAAGAGAGAAACACTACTAAATTGCTAAATGATAGTTATGAATGTGTCACTCACTAATTATACAGGTATTTCTTAGGTATCTACTAGGTACATTAGGTAATCACTAGACATATCATACAAGAAGATAGAAAACACAGAAGCAAACTATTTAAATAACACAATGCCAGATACTGGTGATGCTAAGAAGTGCATAAAAATAGGATGACAGAGCCAGCAGGAGGCATGATAGCTAAGGCACTGGATCCCACATGGTCGACACTCTGTGGTCCTGGGCCTGTTGACTTAAAAACATGCTCAGCATGTTTCTCACTTTCTCTCCCTATCTCTCTCAGGTGAGCACAGATGCCCTATGCCAAAAAAAAAAAAAAAAAAAAAAGGATGATACAGTAGAATAGTAGGATGAGGGAGGAAACACTTAACTCAGAAGGTTCAGGAAAAGCCTCTGAGGAGTTGGCATTTGAGCTAAGATTTAACTCATGAGAGGAAAGCAACCACATGGAGAAGGAATTATTATATATAATTCTCACAACACACCTTCTAAGTTTTATCCTTTCTCAGCTGGGACTGGAAGGCAATCTGACTGAACCTGCACTAAGGCTTTTCACCACAGGACTCCTCCACATCCCAGGTGCTGGCCTCAGCTCACCCCACTCCCTTTGGAACATGCTCCTTCTCCCCAGCCCAGGAAATTCCTCCTCCTCCTTTAACAACTCACAAGTCAACCTTTCTGAGATGCCTACTCTAATAATGCCAAATGGAAAAGAGAGTCTCCATCCTCTGAACATCTAGTTCCTTCACATTCTTTCATGACAGCTCTCTCTGCGTGTACACGACTTCCCTGCTGGGCTGGTGCCCATCTAATAGGGCTGAAGTATTCCACTCCATCCTCCACCCACCAAGTCTATGTAGATCCTCACTCTCAACAGTTACAGGATGAATGAGAAGCAAATAAATGAGTAAATGAAGTACACTGAGTATGGCCAAAAGCCAGAGGGCCTTCAAGTCTTGTCGGGCTCCGGTACTGAAGTAGAATGAAACTGCCAGGGCTGTTAACTGAACAAAAGCCCAAGGAGATCCAAGAAAATGAAGCAGAACAAAAGATTATCTTAATGAGCTAGCTGGCTGCACACTGACCTGCTTTAAGTTGGCTTTTCATAAGCTGTGTCTGTGTCCCTTCCCCACAGTCAAAGAGCCAGCACTCGCCCTCACATCGAAGGACCACGGCAGAGGTGCCCCGGGTTGGGGATGGGTATGCTGCGCCCGTTCCCAGAAATGTCACATCCATGGACATCTTCCACCTGCAACACAAAGACCACCTGAGGATTATTTCATATCACTACACCAAAAGCACATTCCTGAGGGATCTGTGGTTGTTTCTTATTCGGGATAGTCTCGATTCCTGTTCTCTTAAGGTCTTCACACAAATCCAAAGATTTTAATAACTCTTAATCAACTAAAACTACAAGTTACCAAAGCCTATACAATTGTTCATACATACACAACAAACAAGAGCAGTTCAACCCATTCAAATAAAAACTATTGTTCAATTCCAATTATACGACATTCTTGAAAATGCAAGAGACAGTATAGAGGTCAGTATTTGCCAGAGATAAGAGGAGAAAAGAAAGATGGCGGCCAACAAGTGGCATGGTGGTTAAAAGTGCTGGATTCCCACATGGACTGCAGTTTAAGTCTCAGACCTAGCAGCTTACTTTCTTACTTTCCTTCTCTCTCTTACTCTCTGTCTCTCTCTGGTCAAATTAAGGAAATGATAAAAACAAATGGAATTAAATAATTATTTTTTTATAAAAAGGAAAGATGAATAGGCAGAGCACAGGGGACAGTTAGGACAGTCAAACTATTCTTTATGATATGGTAAGGACATTTATACACTGGTCAATTATATGAGAACTGTACAACACAGAGCGAACCCTAAGATAAACTTCAGTTAGCAACAGGGTATCCATGTTGACTCATAACTGTAACAAATGTATCATACTAATCTGTTACTATAGAGGAAACTGGGGAGTGCAGTTAACAAGAAATATGGGAATTATATACTTTCCATTCACTGATATATACATTTTAAAGTCTTTTTACTGAACACTAAGCAACAGTAACTCTAGTTGAAGTTCTGGGAGAAGAGATGGTATTTCATTATGCTCACCAAATGGTGTGTCCCTGGTGCCCCTGGTGATCAACCCTTTCTCTGAATGATCATAAACAACCATAGTATTCTATTATACTCTATAGTAATGCTACAGTAATGCTATAGAATATAGTAATGCTATATAGTAATGCTTCATAGTATGCTGAGCAAATGTCACTCCCTTACAGGACAAGCCCAGGACTGGTTAGTACTTGAGACTCTGATATATATATATATATGTAAATATATACATATATATATATATATACATATACACACACACACACATACACACACACACACATATAATATCTTCTCTTTATTTTAAATTTTGCTATAGGGTGCATACACTTGCCAGAGAAAGAAAAGTGAAAAAAGCATCCCCAGGAGGAGATGGCCACATTGTAGTCCCTTCTCTTCTCTCAGGATTTTGGGTACACATGGACATGCATCTGGCATGTTTTTCAAGTCACCAGGTCTGGGACTTGAACTGTGCAGTCAGCCGTGTGGGATCCAGCTGCTTCTACTACCACTGGCTGATCCAAAGAGACTCTGGTATTTTAAGTGATCAGTAATAATCTGTTGCATATGTAGATTTCTGCCCACTGCTGACACTATTCCTTTCACTGTTTCTGGGCACTTATGGCATCTCTCATGCTTTTGTGATGAGAGATGTGTATTAAATAGAATAAATGAGAATGAAATGAAGCTTACATGTAACCAATTTAGGTTATCCATATTGATGGCAGGAAAGAAAACATACATCAATAGTTTTAAGAAAAACTAATAAAAATCTTGACAGAGTTGAGCATAAGGTAAATATACAAAAATACCAATAGCTTTTATCCTAAAAATAACTAGATAAAAACAGGAATGGGAAAAAACATCCTATTCACAAGAGCAAAACACTAACTTATAAAATCACTAGGAATAAAGGTAACAGGAAAGAAACAGGATCTGAAAGATCCAAACAAATGGAGATACACATTATGTTCCTTGACAGGAAGACTCAGTGTCATACGCTTTCCAAAATTAGTGTAGATATATTTAGTGCAAAATCTTTAAGATTTCCAGTGAGATTTATCTTAGAACAAAAACAATCTAAAGATCACATGGAAGAAAATATAAATATCTGAGAATGGGTAAGAAAATTACAAAAATGGGGGCTGGACAGCAGTGCTGTGGTAAAACACATTCTGTAAGGTTGACTCACTGAGGAAGGTTCCAGGTTCATATCTGGAAACCTGAATACACCAGGCATGCATATGCCCATGCAGTGGGGCTAGCTGAAGCCAGTGGTAGGTCATGGCATCAAGACCCTGTTGGAGTACTGTCTCTATCTTTCTTGCTCATGGAGGAAATAAATAAATAAAACTTTAAAAAAATCATGGCCCCAGCTGGTGGTGCAGTTGGTGGCACTGCAGTGCTGAAAGCTATATGGCTGACTACACGTTCAGATTCCCAACCTGGTTGACCTGAAACATATTATGACATATTATTGTATCTTCAGTCCAAGATACTGAAGAGCTAGAGATCTGGGGAAAGGGAACTGTGGTGCAACTGTCAAGGGTGCCTCTCTCTCTCTCTCTCTGTATCATGAATTTTAAAAAAATTACAAAAAGTAGTGAGTAGTGATTTACTTTTCTAGATATTGATTTACTACATTAATCAGATATAATTAAAACAGAATAATGCTGGCATAAAAATAGAGGTGAAAGGAGAAGGAAAAATCCAGAAATAAACCAAGTATGTATGGAAATCAATATGTAACAAAGGTATAAAACGTGTACCTTATTTAATGACAGCACTGACGTAATTAGCTACTCTTGCAGAAAAAAAGCAAAGCAAAATTTTAACTTTTCATAGTAAATACAAATACACAGGGGGCCAGCAGGTGGTGTGGTAGTTAGGGCACTGGACCCCACACGGCCGACTCAGTTTAGGTCCCAGACCTGACAACTTGCTTTCTCAACTTCCCTCTCAATGGTGAGTGCATGTGACCTATGGCAAATTAAAAAATATAAAATAATAAGTAAATAAAATTCTTTTTTAAAAAACACATGGGTAAGAAATTTAAATGTACAAAATATGCTCCTGGACCTGTAGCATGGCAGTTAGAAGCTGTGCATGGAGAGCCAGCAGGTGGTGTGGTGGTTAAGGCAACTGGATTCCCAATGGCTGATGGAGCAGTTGAGTCCAAGACCCCGTACCTTGCGAACACACTCACAGGGAGGCCAACACGTGGCATAGTGATTATGTTACTGGACTCCTATATGGCCGACTGTGGTCAAGTCTCAGACTCAGTGGCTTAAAACTCACACCAGGCACATGTGCATGGTGTCCAAGATCTCAGAAGGAGAATAGAGATGGAATGGCTATATGACCATACCTCCTGGGTGGTGATTTCTCATGTTCCCTCTACTGTCTCTGTCTCTCTCTCTTTCTGGTGAGCGTACATGCCCTATGGCAAAAAACTCTTAAAAAACAAAACAAAACAAACTTTTATGTATCAAAATACTCCTAAAATCAAATAAAATTATATAAACAAACAAAAAAAGGACAAAAACCACCTGAGAAAACTGCACCTCTAATGACAAAGACTTAATGCCCCTAGAAAAAGTTCATGCAAATATATTCAAAAATAAAAATGCTGATCAATAGAAAAATAGGCAAAGGATATACACAGGAGTCACTGAAGAAATCCAAATGGCCAATAGTCATGAAAAGTGCTCAGTTTCTAGCTAGTTAATGGAAATACAAATAAAAGAAATAACTATGCTCGTTTCTACACATTAGCTGGCAAATATCAATGAAGCAATGTAGCTAGTGCAAACCAGGATACGAGGAAATGGGTAGATGGGTACTCTCCTAAATCAGTGATTGTGGAGTTATGAACTGCTGCTGTTTTGGGAGAAAAACTGGCAATATATATAAATATATATATAACCAATAATAATGATGCTACTGATGATAAATTTTAAACCAGCAATCCCATTTTGGGAAATCTGCCCTATGGAAATAAAGGACCTATGTACAATGATATGTACTGTGGTACTTTTAAAGTGGTTAGCATATGGAAGCTATGTATGTTGAAGGGAAATGATTCAATATTTCATTGTATATTCATGCTTTTATTTATTTATTCTATTAACTATTTATTCCTAACCTAATAGAGAGATCTGTAATTACTATCTTGGAAGAAGACAATGAGAAAAATTACAGGTGGCTATGATATAACCTTATTTTATAATGACAATGTTTCAAATCCTTATGTTTACATAAAATTAAGTTTGGTGCGGAAGGATATGCCTCATACTATTAATATCGGTCATTTCAAGTGTGATTAAAATGATGGTATAGGATAGAGAGGGAGATTATGAACTTAAAAACATTTTTGGGGGGGAACCAGCAGTTAGCGTAATGGCTATGTGGCTGGATTCCCACGTAGTCGACCGTGGTTCGCGTCCCGGACCCAGTGGCTTAGAACTCATGCTGGGCGCGTGTGCATGTGTGCCCTCAAGATCCCAAGAGGAGAATGGAGAAGGGATTGCGGTGTGACCATCCCGACTGGGGGGCGATTTCTCGCTTTCTGTCTCTATGTCTCTCTCTGTCTGGCGAGTGCACGCGCCCTATAGCGAGAAAAAAAAAATTAAAAAAAGAAAAACTCTCCAAAAAAACATTTTTTGGATTATTTTTGGTTGCAATGGGCAGCATTTTATGTAATTTTATATTTATTTAATGTTGATTTTTTAAAAAATGTGTCACATGGCCAAATATGCTTTTCTGACTACACAACACCTAGTCTCCCTTTCTATTTTGGGAAACAGTCAGCTCCTTACCCTCTCACCACAGATTCCTTACACAACAGTACGTCTCTATGCTGCTCATAGGCCTTGAGGTTATTACTAGCGTCCATTTCATGTGTTACTCCACATTTTCACCACCAAGATAAAGCCTTCCTGATAATTAAGCAGCAATTTGCAGAGGCTTCCCTACTGGATTGCAGTTTGCAGGAGAGGTGAGAATAAACAGAATGCAGGAAGTTAAAATTTAGAAAAGCTAATAAAATGCAGAAGGCATAGCAGGATATGCTTACTCTAAGAAATAACGGATCTAGACCAGTGCTATGTAACCCTGGGAGCTTATTAGAATCACCTGGAGAGCTTGTAAAATGTATCAATGACTGGGCTCCATCCAGGAGCAATGAGAGAAAATTCTGAGTGAGATATGTGCTTTAGTGTTTATAAAGAAGCAGAGGCTTCTCCTCCATGATTCTAACATGGAGTCAGATCTGAGAACCATTTAATGAAAGGTTAACCAATGGATCAGGCTGACCTGAACTCACTAGTCAACTAGTCAATATTCTAAAAAAATTGATTGTGAAAAATTTCAAACACATAAAGAAGAGTGTTGAGTATACTAATGCTACTCAGCCATCACCAAGCTTCAACAATTATCAGCTCATGGGCTCTTGCTTCATACCCCTCGGCCTACCCCTATTACTCCAAGAATGCTGGGTAAGTGGCACATGGTACTTCCTCAGGAGGCACGGTTGTCTAGCTGTCTCTTTTTCTGATGTTGACAGCCACTGTTGCTCATTGCCAGGATCCGTTATTTCATTAGGGGTTGCCGAAAGGTGATATTCTCTCATTCCTTCTGCGGTTACTAGCTGGCATCCTTCTACGATGCTCTGGTCAATTATTTGGTCACCTTGAGGTAAAGTAGTTCATGTCTACAAGGTTTACAAAAAGAGACAAGGTCTCATCCAACTCCTGAGGCGATGGAACGTGAAGTACACAGGAGAGTCTATGAAGTTTTCTTGAGAAAAGTAGAACCTGGACCTCAAAAAAAGCTATAGACATAAATGCCAGATTGTTAAAGGGAAGGAGAAAGTAAAAACCAAGATGTAGGAAACTTTATAGGAAAATGCCTTGAGTTCTTCAAGTAAAATACAAGGAAAAAATAAACAAGAGGACAAAAAAGACTAAAAGAGTTAAGAGATGTCAACCAACTGCAACATGTGTATAGCTTGTTTGGATACTGATTTGTATGAACTGAAAATTTGGGAGGGTGGGAACTGGGGAAATGCAAACGCTGGGCAGGATAGTAGATGGTAATCTGAAATGTTAATTAGGCTGATAATGGTTTTATGTTTTAAAAAGGAGTTACTATGTTTTAAAACATAGGCAAATATTTAACAGATTGAATGGTACATTTTAGATTTCTTTACAATAATACAGTGGGAGTGAGAGTAACAGATGAAACAAGATTAATCACGAATTAGGAGTTCACATTATATTTTCGTATATTGAAATTTTCCAAATTAAAAACTGAAAAACAAAATTTAAAAAATCGTAACTCTTCCACTAGATCGAGTAGCTAGAAATGTAATCAAGGGTGTTTTGTGAAATGCACCTTCCAAGCCACTAGAAACTAACTGAGCAAACCAGATTAGGTCCCTGTCTTCTTGGACAAAAAACAGCTGCTTCCTTTCTCAAAGCGGAGATCCACCTTGGACGAAGTTCATAATCCGGCCGTCATCATGGTGCTGGGCCCATGGGCCCGTTTGACCCCGGACCCGTGGTTCTCCAGGCTGCAGATCGCGATCACCTGGTGAAGATGGAGCATTTGGAAGGCCTCGCAAGAGATTCTAATGGCTGCCGGGCTGAAAACCGGCGCTCCTTGGTTTCCAGGCGGCCAGCGTCAACCCTGCAATGACCCAGTGGGGCAGGCAGGGCGGATCCGGCCGTCCTCCATTTTAGTGCGGGAAGAATCGTGCCCGGGGAGAGTGGGAGTGAGCAGCCACCCATATTCGGGGCCTGGGGCCAAGTGTCGGCCACCAGCGAGCCCAGGACCCCCTACGAGACCGTGCCATCTAGCAAAAGGCAGAGCAGGCGGCCGAGGTTCGAGGCCGGAGAGGTGGAGGATGCGCGTCCTCGCTCCCGCGCGCGGCCTGGGCCTCGGTCTTCCGAGCCGGGCTCAGCCTGGCCGGGCCAGCCTCCGAGTCCAGAGGAAGCGCGTCCGCCCCGCTCCGGCGCGCCCAGTCCCACTCACCCTCTCCCTGAAGCCCGCAGCCTGCGGGAAAAGCGCAGAAAGGCGCAGGCCCGCACTGAGGCCCAGCTGTCCGCGGGGCCAGCGACGCGAGCGAGCGGAAGTGAGCCGGAGGCCGGGCCCCACGCGGCCGCTCTAGGACGTGCCGGAGGTCCGCGCTCGGTGGCGCCGGGCTGCGATCGCGCTGCCTGGTCGGGAGGGTCCCGGGGAAAACGCTTGCAGGAGAGCCCCCTTTCTTTCCAGGGCCCTTAGAAGATGGTGGTTGTGGCCTGTAAGAACCAGAGCGGGCTGCGCCAAAGGCGAAAACGTTTACTCTTCCGCTTTTTGTTTTGCATGCCTTGTTTTCCAGAAAAGATGTTTTGCTCATGCGTTCATTTCTGTAATTTTCAGTCTCTGGTTGGGAGGAATTTTACTGTCAACCACTAAAGTGAATTTACAGTTCCTTAAGAGGAAAACGCAGGTACCATTGAATCAGAGTTAATATCAATGTGACTATGCCCCATTCAAGAGCCACCACCCGTATTCCATTTTTAGGATAAGCCGAATATTTGCTTAAAATCTGAAACTAATCCTGCTGCCCTCCCCCAGGCCTCACAAATGAGTTCTCTCCTCCTCTCACCCCCTCCCTCTCTGTGTGTATTATATATATGTGTATGTGTATATATATATGTACATATATGTACATATTTAGGGTTTTTGCCACAGGGCACGGGGCACATACAATCACCAGAGAGAGAGTGACAGAGAGGAAAGTGAGAAATCACTCCCCAGAGGGGAATGGCTACAGGGCAATCCCTTCTCTTCCATTCTCCTGTCAGGATTTTGGACACACGCACATGCCTGGCATGATTTCCAAGGCTTCAGGTCTGGGACTCAACCTTGCAGGACGATATGAGAGAGGTGCCTTAACCATTATGCCACCTGCTGGCCCCACAGATGAGTTTTCTTAGGCAGTGGAGGCAAGAGTGAAAACATCACCCTCCTGGGGGCAGCATAAGCACGTGGTGATTACAAAATATAAGAGGAAAACTTCCACTTAAAATTCAGCTTTACAGAACATATGTCAGGGGCCAGCAGGTGGTGTGGTGGTTAAGGCCCTGGACTCTCACATGGCTGCAGTGCATGTACTCAGAATCCCAGGAGGAGAATGGAGAAGGGATTGTGGTGTGGCCATCCCTCCAAGCATGATTTCTCACTTTTCCTCTCTCTGTATCTCTGTTTCTTTCTAGTGAGTGCACATACCCTATGTTTAAAAAAAAAAAAAAAAAAACCTTAAAAAACGAAAAGTATTTCCTGGGCAGCTCCAGATATATCACGGTCAATGTACTTGAGAGGTCAAAGTATCCACCAGCTTCGTAATGGGACTAGGAGTGGAGGATCTGAGTAGTCTCGGGTTTTTTTGGAAACTACCAGAAGGGGATCCAGAGCTATCCCCCCACTTTTTAGTTTGCTTGAAAATCATTCATTGGTCTACTTTGGGCCTCTTCAAAGCCTTATTTATTAAAGCAGTAATTTAACACTAACTTTGTATATAGCAGTATTTTTGGTGTTGAGAGAATTTTTTAACTATGTCATGGCCCCTCGTCTTTAAAAAGAATTATTGGGACCAGCAGTTGGAGTAACGGCTGTGTCGCTGGACTCCCACATAGTTGACCACGGTTCGAGTCCCGGACCTGGTGGCTTAAACTCACGCTAGGCGCGTGTGCGTGTAGGCCCAAGATCCCAAGAGGAGAATGGAGGAGAAAGGATTGCGGCGTGGCCATCCCCCCCGGGGGGTGATTTCTCGCTTTCTATCTCTCTGTCTCTCTGTGTCTGTATGGCGAGCGCACGTGCCCTATAGCAGAAACCTCTTCAAAAAAAAATAAAAAAGAAAACCTCTTCAAAAAAAAAAAAAAAGAAGAATTATTTAATTTTATTTATCATTATCATTATTTTTTCTTTTAATTTATTAGAGGGTGAATACACTCACCAGAGAGAGATACACACAGAGAAAGCAAGCTGCCAGGTTCAGGTCTCAAACCACAGTCAGCCATGTGGAACTCCAGTGCCTTAACCACCACACCACCTACTGGCCCCAGCTCCTGGTCTTAAGGAGCCTATACTCAGGTTAGGAAAAGATGTATCAGAAACAATCAACTGACAATATATAAGGGAACACTGAGAAAGCAGTGAGAAGAATTGTGAAAAGGAGGATCACTAGCCAAGAGATCAGCACTGGAGAGGTCAGACCTGAGCTGGGTGTCATAGGAGAAATGAGACATGGACGTGGAAAATAAGGTGGACTCAGTCAGATGAGGTCTGATTTAGGCAAGTATTAAATATCAGACCTTGACCTTTACTTTTCCTGACACTTGCTTAGGTAAAAATTGCTCGAGAAGACATATCATTCTACAACTTGGTCTTGATCTCAGCTCAGCTACTTGTCCCTAGAGTAGTATCTTCTGAAAGCTCGTTTCTGTCCATCCATCAGAGTTTTCTGCCACTCCTCTTCTCAGTGTTTTTGTTTGTTTGTTTTAGGTTTTTGCCATAGGGCATGTGTGCTTAGGAGAGAGACAGGGAGAGGGAAAGTGAGAAATCATCCCTCGGGGGAATGATCATGCTGCAGTCCTTTCTCCTTCATTCTCCTGGGATCTTGGGCATGCATGCACATATGTCTGACATGACATTCAAGCCACCATGTCTGGGACTTGAAACACAAGTCCATGTGGGAGTCCAGTGCCTTAACCACCACACCACCTGCCAGCCCCTATTTATTTAGTTTAAACCTTATTCATGATAGAGTGTATGCATGTGCGTGTGTGAGAGAGAGAAAGATGAGCACCCTCCATAAGGTCCGGGCATGCCATGATCCCCTCCTCCAGTCCTTCAGCACACTGGATCTTGGGTATTCGTGCACTCATTTGGAGTGTTTCTAACTGAATGGGCCAGGGCTTTGACTTGCCATCATCATGTGGGATCTGGTTTCTCTTGAGTGCCACATTACTACTGTACCACATAGCTGGCCCCCAGTTATTTGTTAATATCATCCTATCATCACTCAGTGTTCAAATTTCCTTAATAGCTTCCCAAATCTCTCACATGTTGTTGGTTTGATTGAATCAGGATTCAAAAAATTTCATCTATTGAATTTGGTACATATCTCTTAAGATTCTTTTAATCTTTAATAGTTTCTTCTCCTTTTTTCTTGCCATCTATTTGTGGAAGAAATTGAGTCATTCGTCCTCTAGAAGTTCCCAAATTCTGGACTCAGTTGATTGCATCCCCATGGTATCATTTAACATGTTCCTCTAATCCTTGTATTTCCTGTAACATGGGAGGTAGATCTAGAGGCTCATTCTGATTCAGAATCTTTTGTTTCTTTCTTTCTTTGTTATAGGGTATATGTGCTTGCTAGAGACACACGAAGAGAGAAAATGAGAAATTAACCTCTGCGGGGATAGCCATGCTGTAATCCCTTTTCCATTCTCCTCTTGAGATTTTGGGCACATATGTGTGCACACATGCCCAGCCTGACTTTCAAACTGCTGGGTCTGGGACTCATCTGGGACTCAAACTGTGCAGCCAATCACATGTGATTCAGTCACCCTAACCTCCACCTGTTGTCCCCAGAGTCTTTTTTTAGCAAGTCCATTTCATTGGTGATGCTGGGTAGTTCCTATTGGTTTGTATCAAAATCACATAGTCTTAGGGATGTTTAACATAATTACATAGTCTTAGTGATGACTTTAGATATGTTAGAAATGACTAGTGGGTCTAGCCTGACTCATCTATTAGGAAATTTTATTAGTCTTTTACCAAACAGTTTTAGGAACCACTGTAGATCATTGCCAGAATCCATGATTCCACTTGAGGTTGCAAAGTGGTGATTCTCTAGTGCCATTACTCTTTCTACATTTATTAGCTGGAATCCTATAAAGAAAAAGTCTTTTGGGGCCAGCAGGTGGCATAGTGGTTAAGGTGCTGGACTCCCATATGATCAACTGCAGTTGGAGTTCTGGCTGTCAGCTTGAAAATCATACTGGGGTCTGGCAGGTGGTGTGGTGGTTAAGGGCTAGACTCCCCCATGGCCAACTGTGGTTCAAGTCCAGAACTTGGTGGCTCTCTCTCTCTCTCTCTTTCTCTCATCAAATTAAAATAAAAAAAAAAGATAGAAAGAAAAGAAAAGAAAGAGAGAAAGAAGGAAGGAAGGAAGGAAGAAAGAAAGAAGGAAGGAGTGAAGTCATGCCAGGTGTGTGTGTGTGTGTGTGTGTGTGTGTGTGTGTGTGTGTGTGCACATGCACCAAGTCCCAGGAGGAGAATGGAGAAAGGATTTGGCCTGGCCATCCAGGGTAGGGGGTGATTTCTCACTTTCTCTCTCCTTTCCTTGTCTCTCTCTGGCAAGTAATATGGCAAAAACCTAAAAGAAAAGAAAAGAAAAATCTCTCATCAACTATTTGATTATTTTTATATATACTTTGACAGAAAAAAAAAAAAACAAACAAGGTTAATACTTCCTAATCAACACAAAGGATAAAGGAATAAACTAAATGACATCATAAGGATGCAATTGGCCAAATCAGTTTTCATCAGGAGTTGGCAACCCCAAGAGTAACCAAGGAAACTTATTTTCTTAGTAGCTTTATGAACAAATCAACTTTAATAATTTTATGTAAGACATTTAACAAATATAACCACAATGCCACTCTTAAATCTACCAAAATAAATAATAGTTACTTAACGTATTCTAATATCCAGGTCATATTATGTCTTCTCTGAATGCTTTAAAATATCTTCTTAGAGTTGGTTTGCTCAAGTCAGGATCCAAAGAAAGTTCACACATTGAATTTGGCTGATTTGTTTCTCAAGTCTCTTTGGGGGAAAAAAAATTGCCAAAGGCCATGTGCGCTTGCCAGAGACAGAGAGAGAAGTTGGGAGGGGAGAAAGTATCCCGCAGGGGAGTGTGGTCACACCACAATCCTTTTCCCTCCATTTCTCCATCCTGTTGGGATTTGGGGCACACACAAACACATTCCTGGTGTGTTTTTTCAAGCTACTAGGGCCAGGATTCAAAAGTCAGTTGACCATGTGGGATGACTTCTCTTAGCCACTAGGACATGGGGCTGGTTCCTAAAGTCCCCTTTATTCATTAACAATTAATCCCCCCCTCATTTTCCTCCACAACATATTTCGTTGAAGAAACCAGA